ATACAACTGACGATTTACTATAAAACCAGAAAAACGGCCAGCCTACTCATGAGAAACTCTCCAGACACAAAGCAGAACGCTTTAAAAGAGACGAACGTCGTCTATGCCTTCAAATGCCCTCTTGGGGACTGTAAGCTCCAAAAAACCCAGTATATAGGCAAGACAACAACATCTCTTTCTAGGCGTTTAACGATGCATAAGCAACAGGGCTCCATTAAGGAACATATAATCTCTTCCCACAACCAAACCATCGCCAGAGAAATCCTAGTAAACAACACAGAAATCATCGATAGATACAGTGATAGCAGGCGGCTTGACGTCTGCGAAGCTCTACACATCAAGAAGTCAACACCAGCAATCAACAGCCAATTAATGCACAACTATATTCTACCCACCTCAAGACTCCGCTCCAATATAGAAGCATCAAGAAATATGGACCAATAGGCTTTCTACAAATCACTTCCATTCAATACCCATTGTTTCGTGTTCTGTCTTGTGTTTAGGAATTTAATACCCTATCAATACCACCTCACCCCATCCACCTCACTCAAATGTAGATATAAACAAATCGAAGATGTGTAAGTTCTATTCAGTTGTGTATGTGTAAGCTAAAGTCTTTGAAAATGTAATAAGTTTGACGAAACGCGCTCAAGTGTCGTTTCAGACTAGAAATAAAAATGAATTTTGGAGAATTGATTTTTGAATTACCACCAACAGTGAAAAGAAACGTACGAAAGATCGAGAAAATTCGTGTTAGAATTATTAATCTTACTTTTTCGGTCATATTTAATAGTATATATATATACTATTATATACTATATATATATATATATATATATATATATATATATATATATATATATATATATATATATATATATGTGTGTGTGTGTAACGTTTATCTTGTGTGTTGTTGCCAGACACATATGATGTGGTGGTGACCGCTGGCAGCCTGGCTGAGAACCATATGCCTCTTCAAGCCATTGATGAGTTTATCCGGATCACCAAGCCAGGTGAGAACACTTAAACTGTATTCCAAACACAACTCAATAGACATTACTGGATACAGTTTCCTTAGTTGATAATAAATTAATAGTTGTATTACCACAACACTGAGATATTGTTTCTTGTTTGTTATTGTTGATCGCCTTTACTGGATCGTAAGGCGGGTAAAGTTCGCTGTCCATCTACAGCGTTCCAATAATTTTATGTGAAATGATTGATAAATGTGGATAAATATTTCATATGAACCCACTTTCCATCAAGGCTAACTGAGTGGGACTACACCTCATTGCTCTCTGAGTGTGGTTAAAAGTCGTGGCTTCCAGAGTTGGTAACAATTCAGGGTTCCATGAGTGGGTTACAACTCAAGACTCTCGAAGTGGATTATAACTCATCGCTCACTGAGTGGGACTACACCTCAGGGCTCACTGGTTGGACTACACGCATGGGTCGACATCAGGGAGCCTTGAGTGGAACAACACATAAGGAAGGACTCCCTGAGTCGGAATACATATAAGGACTCCCTGAGAAGAACTGCCTTAGGACTCCCTGAATGGGATTACACATCAATACTCTGTGAGTAGAAGTAGACTTCAGAGCTCCCTGAGCTGGACTATTCATCACGGCTTTGTGTGTTGGACTACACATCAGGGCTCCCTAAGTTTACCTACTGTTACTTGGACCATCTAAATACGCTCCTCGCCCGACTATTAACCACTGCACTGTGCAGGGTGCCTTATGGCGATGGATCGAGGGTGCGTAGAGTTCCCAAAGGTGATCGTAGGATTCAAAACTGGCGCATGGTCATTTGGATATGAAATGGAGGCTTCAGGCCTCCAATGATTATCCGCCATTTTTGTTATATTCCCCTAATGCCCCACGGCAGTGGGAAGTCTTAGTTTCAAGGTAGCGACCATTTCTGACGCATCAGTTCTCGGTCGGCCGCGTTGTTGAGAAATGGCTCTCAGATGTGGAAACACAGAGCATATTGTTTGATGATGTCCACATCAGTAATATGGACATTGAAGTGGACGATGTGGCGATTGTGTACAGTACAAGGGTCTCGCCCGGCCTGCCGCACCGCCCATGGTCAACACTAGTGGTGTTACCATCACCATCTGTGCCATCGTCTCTACTAAGTAATAATGAAGATGATGGGTCGTTTTCTGGGTTCAGTGAAATAGGTTCAGATACAAGCAATGTTGATGAACCGAGTGTCAGCGGCTTTGGAGGTGCTACTAGGCGAGGTTTTGCTGCCCCAGTAACTCTAGTGATAAGTGTGGTGATAATTCCGATGTTGGTATGACACCGTTATTCCCCTGTACAGGTGACGACATTGGTGAAATAGATAATTTTTTGGCATATTTCCCATGAGCCACTCATGTAGCATCTTGTTGCAGGGACAACCAATACGCTGTTTACCTGCCTCTCGAATGACGTGTTGCAGAGACTCGACTATTAAAGACATGTATGTGTTTATAATGTTGTGCATGATGAGGAGGCATGTAAAAAAACACGTGATCCTGGATTATTAGATCAAAGACAGCCTTGTTCCGATCCCCTTGGTCACCAGGTACATATTATATATGTACATGAATGAATATAAGGGTCTTTGTTATCTTAGAGTAGTATAATAGCAGAATGAACTTAGAAGAGAAGTAGTGGAGGTTAACTCTAAACACAGTTGTATAATAATGATTGAATACAACTTATAGTGCAAGCTGAGAGACAATTCAAAACCTTAAAATGAAACGCAATGAATAGAAATAATATAAATACATCTGTCATTAGGCCCTACCTAGTAGGTCCTAGGTACACCCTAGGTATGCACCCAGGTCTATACCTATGTATGGTAAGGGTGTACTTAAGTATGGTAGGGTGTACTTGAGGATGTTATGAGAGTGTCCTCCCAACATAGAGTCGCATGTTGATCTATACTCTATTAAGGCCAACATTACTTGTAAGAATTAATGGTAGCGGCTCGCGAAATTGACATACTGTCTCATTTTCTGTCATTGGTCATCTAGTAGGTTAGGATAAGGCCTTTTAGTATGACAGTTTCTTGACGTTGGGAACCCCACGAAAACGGGGTGGATCAGCACCCAAAATTAATGAGTGTTGAAAGACAGCACATTTTTCAGGCACTAATACTCTTCCTGTCCCGCAGGTGGTCTAGTGATAATGGTGACGAATGTGAAGTACCTGAGGACAGTGGAGGCATACAAGGACAAGTTGGAGCCTCACATGGAGTACCTCGAACAACAGGGGTTGTGGCAGAAGGTAATATTTCCTCAAGTGTTGTGTTCTTTTTAGGAACAAAATGTACCATTCGTGGAAGATGGCAAGAAGTAAACAAGCTAAATACATTTTATTATACTGTATACTTAAATAAATATATATGTACAGTCGAGGTCAAAAGTCTCCTTCATGGGTGGAGGGGGAGGGGGGAAAGGAAGGAAATACTGCTTTTCGAGGTGCTAAGATGATTCATCAATTATCACTGTTTGTTTTTTCCATCATCGACAAAGTAATATTGAATTATATTGTTGAGGATAACTTTTCTTTACTGTTAACTATTTTATATTATAATTCTTTTTTTCATGATGAATCTCAGCATATGATGGGGTATAATCCAGAAAGTGTGCAGTACAAAACGTTGATTCCATTTACAATAGTAAGCCAACCCATCCTCAGACCAAGTTCATTCCATCCAGTAGCCCGTCCTCCAAACAACGCCCCAAAAGTGATTCCATGCACCCCGCCAAACCCCCCTGTGTATGAGTGAAAAACGGTTTACACACGACTCACAACTGATTTTGCTCGAACCCTTTTGGAACAAGTGCTTCACTGACGAATTTTGTTCGAACTTCAATACTGTAAATGCTTCACCCCCGTACTACAAATACAAATAATTGCCAACAGAACCTAAACACCTAACCTAGCCTAACCAATGCTTATATATGCACAATATGCCATATATTATGATATTAATTTATTAATATCATAATACATGAGAAAATTCCTGTTTTGAATGAACAGCATGTAAAAATTTATGAATGCGTCTGTGGGGTCGACAGCTGGACGTAATTTGGACTCAAGTCGCGGACGGATTGTGTAAATGCTTCATCCATGCACTACAAATACTAATCGCCAACAGAACCTAAACACTTACCTTAACCTAACGTATGCCTTAGGTTAGGTTAGGTGCTGTTAGATTAACATACTTAACACATTATGTTAAAATTGATGAATGCATCTGGGGAGGACGGTCGCTGCTTTAAACAGCCTAGTGTGAGGACGGGTTGAGTAAATACCCAACATTTAACGAATGAAAGCCCAGGACGCTTGTTTCATGGATTACGATTGGATCTTCAGACAGATTGCTATTTGTTGTTATTATATTGTTTTAATATTATCACCAATAATATAGTACTCTTTATTTCATAAGGCATGTCATAGTAGATACATACCAAGAGGATTTTTCACCGGGAGTGTCTCTATAGTCGAATGTTGTGCTTAACATTAAGCTGTTTTAATATATATAAATAAAAATGTATATGTTCGTTTGTTCAAAATCACTAATCTCTGAAAGTTCTTCACCGATTGCTTTAAAATTTTCACACAACGTTCCATTCGCATCCGAGCGTGTTTTTATTTAGATAGTATATAGATGTCATGCTGTGACGGGAAAAAGCTGTTTACCACACAATTCATTTCAAGAGTACATTTTATTTTTTCTATGATTTTCATTTCGGGTTTTTTTTTTACTGTTCTTATTTTTCAGTGATGGAAACATCAGATCACTTGATGTTCCCATTTTTCTGATGTCAACATCAAATCACTTGGGAACGCAAAAGATGATGAAGTGGGGAATGGTGGGGAGGATGTGAGGGATGGGGGTTTAGGAGATGGTGGGGAGGACGAGGGGATGAGGGAGTGGAGAATGGTGGGGAGGACAAGGAAATGGTGGAGGAGGGAATAGTGTGGAGGACGAGGGGACGGGGGAAAGAGGGAATAAGGGGACAGAAGAGGATTGCTGTGGCTCAGCCACACATCTTTGCTGGCCATCTAGACGTGGGAGTGAGCAAGAGAGAGGGAGAGCAAGAGAAAGGGAGAGCAAGAGAGAGGGAGAGCAAGAGAGAGGGAGAGCAAGAGAGAGAGAGAGAGAGCAAGAGAGGGAGAGCAAGAGAGAAGGAGAGCATGAGAGAGGGAGAGCAGGAAAGAGAGAGTGCATGAGAGAATGAGAGAACAGGGAAGGGAGAGAGCAGGAGAGAGGGAGTACATGAGAGAGAGAGCGCATGATCTAGATGGCTTTTTATGTCATTTAGTTCATCTGCGTCTTTACTATGACGAATATGTTATCTACATAACGACAGTATTCCATTGGTTTTTGCCTACTGCTGAAGACGCTCTCTCTTCGACTTTTTCCACGTAAAAGTTAGCGAATAAGACTCCTAAGGGGGAGCCCATTGCTACTCCGTCTATATGTAGATACATGTCCCCCTTGCGGACTGATGAAAGGAGCTTCCTTTGTGCATGCCTCGAGAAGACTCTTCAAGTGTGGCTCAGGTATGTCTAATTTGGGGGTGCTCTCGTCTCTGTACACTCTGTCCAGTATCATTCCTATGGTTGTGTCAACTGGGACGTTGGTAAATAGGGATTGGACGTCCAGGGAAGCAATGATTCCATCGGACCGAGTAGTTTTGATTAATTTTAGGAAATCTGCTGATGATTATAGACTATAGTTGCTTGGAGTGTATGGAGTTAGGAGTTCATTAAGTCTTTTTGCCAGGTGATAAGTTGGAGTTGGTATTTGGCTGATTATTGGGCGTAGTGGGTTACCTGGTTTATGCGTCTTTACATTGTCATAGGCATTACTTAAGCCACTATAGAAAGTGAACAAAACTATTACTGCAATCAATCCTTATAGACGATCATTGGTGCGGTGGTCACGGTACTGTGTACGTTTAGGGGTGATCCTGGCCGGCATGGGTTCGAATCCTGGCAGGGTCAAAGAGTTCTTAGTGATATATGGCTTGCGGGTTCATGCAGCTTTCTCAAACATGTTAGACTCAGTGCGGCCCATGCATGCTCCAGAATTTGATGAAAAACTGTACCCAAATGGATCCAAGAGTGTCGTTGGGGGCTGATCAGTCAGGGAGCTTAGTTAATAAGCGCCATGACTGACCAATCCTTATAGACGATCATTGGTGTGGTGGTCACGGTACTGTGTACGTTTTGGGGTGATCCTGGACGGCATGGGTTCGAAACCTGGCCGGGTCAAAGAGTTCTAGTGATATAAATATATATATTATATATATATATATATATATATATATATATATATATATATATTAGTTGTGCATTAAATATATATATATATATATATATATATATATATATATATTTATATCACTAAGAACTCTTTGACTCTATATATATATATATATATATATATATATATATATATATAAGCCTATACTTGCATAAACCACAAGTGAAGATTAACAATCTTTGGACAACACCCACCAGTGGGCCTCGAACCCAGAAAGCACAACTACCTTCCAGTAGCTGCCATAACTAGTACGCCTTAACCCACTACACCATCAGACCCTTCAAAAGAAGTAGAGACTTCAAGATATATATACACCTCAAATATCTCCACTTCCCGAGGGCACTAGACAAGTGAGAGGTTACTATGCGTTTTTTCATCAAGCCACTGTTAATGTGAGAGAACTCGTGTCCATGCTATAAGCCTATACTTGCATAAACCACAAGTGAAGATTAACAATCTTTGGACAACACCCACCAGTGGGCCTCGAACCCAGAAAGCACAACTACCTTCCAGTAGCTGCCATAACTAGAGAGAACTCGCTCTGTGAGAGAACTAGTGTCCAGGCTTGAATGGATGGGGTGAGGTGGTATTAATAGGGTATTAAATTCCTAAACACAAGACAGAACACGAAACAATGGGTATTGAATGGAAGTGATTTGTAGAAAGCCTATTGGTCCATATTTCTTGATGCTTCTATATTGGAGCGGAGTCTTGAGGTGGGTAGAATATAGTTGTGCATTAATTGGCTGTTGATTGCTGGTGTTGACTTCTTAATGTGTAGTGCCTCGCAAACGTCAAACCGCCTGCTATCGCTGTATCTATCGATGATTTCTGTGTTGTTTACTAGGATTTCTCTGGCGATGGTTTGGTTGTGGGAAGAGATTATATGTTCCTTAATGGAGCCCTGTTGCTTATGCATCGTTAAACGAATAGAAAGAGATGTTGTTGTCTTGCCTATATACTGGGTTTTTTGGAGCTTACAGTCCCCAAGAGGGCATTTGAAGGCATAGACGACGTTGGTCTCTTTAAAGCGTTCTGCTTTTTCTCTGGAGAGTTTCTCATGAGTAGGCTGGCCGTTTTTCTGGTTTTATAGTAAATCGTCAGTTGTATCCTCTGATTTTTGTCTGTAGGGATAACGTTTCTATTAACAATATCTTTCAGGACCCTTTCCTCCGTTTTATGAGCTGTGGAAAAGAAGTTCCTGTAAAATAGTCTAATAGGGGGTATAGGTGTTGTGTTAGTTGTCTCTTCAGAGGTTGCATGGCGTTTCACTTTCCTTCTTATGATGTCTTCGACGAAACCATTGGAGAAGCCGTTGTTGAGTAGGACCTGCCTTACCCTACAGAGTTCTTCGTCGACTTGCTTCCATTCTGAGCTGTGGCTGAGAGCACGGTCGACATAAGCGTTAACAACACTCCTCTTGTACCTGTCTGGGCAGTCGCTGTTGGCATCTAGGCACATTCCTATGCTCGTTTCCTTAGTGTAGACTGCAGTGTGGAAACCTCCGCTCTTTTCCATGACTGTTACATCTAGAAAGGGCAGCTTCCCATCCTTTTCCATCTCGTAAGTGAAACGCAGCACGAAACTCTGGTCAAATGCCTCCTTCAGCTCCTGCAGATGTCTGACATCAGGTACCTGTGTAAAAATGTTGTCAACATACCTGCAGTATATGGCCGGTTTCAAGTTCATGTTGACTAAGACTTTTTGCTCGATGGTACCCATGTAGAAGTTTGCAAACAGGACACCTAGGAGAGAACCCATGGCGACCCCATCTACTTGCTTATACATGTGCCCAGCCGGGCTCAAGAAGGGTGCCTCTTTAGTACAAGCTTGGAGTAGTTTCCTTATCATATTTTCTGGTATGTCAAGAGGAGTATAGGCTGGATCACGATACACTCTGTTGGCTATCATCCCGATTGTCTCGTCCACAGATACGTTGGTGAACAGTGATTCTACGTCCAATGAGGCTCTTATCCCTGTGGCCCGTGTGCCACGCAGTAAGTCAACAAATTCCTTTGGTGACTTCAGGCTGAAGGCACAAGGGACATAAGGAGTCAGCAGGCCATTGAGTCGCTTCGCCAGTCTGTACGTGGGTGTGGGTATCTGGCTAATGATTGGCCGAAGTGGGTTTCCAGGCTTGTGTGTCTTGACATTTCCATACGCATATCCAGGTTTATATTCCCCAATAATCTTTGGCAGGTGTGTGTGTGTGTGTGTGTGTGTGTGTGTGTGTGTGTGTGTGTGTGTGTGTGTGTGTGTGTGTGTGTGTGTGCGTGCGTGCGTACGTGCGTACGTGCGTGCGTGCGTGCGTGCGTGTGTGCGTGTGTGTGTGTGTACTCACCTAATTGTGCTTGCGGGGGTTGAGCTCTGGCTCTTTGGTCCCGCCTCTCAACCGTCAATCAACTGGTGTACAGATTCCTGAGCCTATGGGCTCTATCATATCTACATTTGAAGCTGTGTATGGAGTCAGCCTCCACCACATCACTTCCTAATGCATTCCATTTACTAACTACTCTGACACTGAAAAGTTCTTTCTAACGTCTCTGTGGCTCATTTGGGTACTCAGCTTCCACCTGTGTCCCCTTGTTCGCGTCCCACCAGTGTTGAATAGTTCATCCTTGTTTACCCGGTCGATTCCCTGAGGATTTTGTAGGTTGTGATCATGTCCCCCCCTTACTCTTCTGTCTTCCAGTGTCGTAAGGTGCATTTCCCGCAGCCTTTCCTCATAACTCATGCCTCTTAGTTCTGGGACTAGTCTAGTAGCATACCTTTGTACTTTTTCCAGCTTCGTCTTGTGCTTGACAAGGTACGGGCTCCATGCTGGGGCCACATACTCCAGGATTGGTCCAGGATTGGTCTTATGTGTGTGTGTGTGTGTGTGTGTATGTGTGTGTGTGTGTGTGTGTGTGTGTGTGTGTGTGTGTGTGTGTGTGTGTGTGTGTGTATGCGAACAATCCTGAATGGTTCCCAGGACTATATGCAACTGAAAACACACACCCCAGAAGTGACCTGAACCCATACTGCCAGGAGCACTCTGCTGGCATACAGGTTCCCTTAACTGCTTGACCAACACGACCAGACAAAAGAGAATGGTTGCCGAGGCTATTTCCATTCCCTCGCCGGCACTCGGTTGGTAATCTAGGGCATGTTTTTTTTCAAATCACCTCATGTTTTGGGGCACACATGAGGAACACAAATGCGAACAAGCCTGAATGGGTGGGGGGTTGGAAGAAGGGTGGGGCAGAGAGAGAGAGAGAGTTGGGGAAAAGAGATGGGTGGGGAGGGGAGAGAAGGAGGGGAAGGAATGTGGGGTGTGGATAGTGGGGTGGGGAGGGTAGAGGGGTTGGGATGAAAGAGGGGTGAGGCAGAGAGAGGGTTGTGGAGGGGAGATGGGTGGGGAGGGGAAGGAAACAATCAGGAGAGCGCACCAAGCCAAACATCCTGGTCACTGCTGGTGTACACAAATATCTTTACCTACTTCATTACATGTAAATTTCATCAAGATAAATCTTCAACTATTTACATGATCCCATTAGCTTTATTTTAATTTTTTCTTGAAAAAAATAATTCTATAAAACAAGTAAAATTCTTTAGAGCGATTTCCATTTTGAAAGTGGCAAGATCCAAGTTGGAGTTGGTTGGTTCTGAGTCATCACTGGGCGACTACACTTACTTTGGTGTAAAGTCTATATAAGACTGACAATGTTTATATGTACAATAGACTGTTCTAACCTTTGTTAAGATATATGTTTTCCCCATAACACTGTACCTCTCTCCCCAATTTACTTTGTTACAGTGTAATGTTCTCATATTTACTCTCAAAAGCTGAAACTTTTACGTTGTTTTGTTCAACAGGAAGTAAGGAAGGTGGTGCCGAACTATGACTATGAGAATGATGGAATCGTCTTCGTCTATCGTGTTGCGAGCGACTAGGTCCCTGCCAGCAACTGCCACGTCT